AGGGAGAAAACAATGATATTCAGACAGTCATTAATCGTATATCTTGCTAGTTACGAAATCCATTCTTGTATCTGTGTATGCTATAAATAGAAATAACTGCCCTTTACAGCGTCACTTTGAATCAAGGAGATACGGAACACCTGCATGTATGTATTCTTCATTATAAGGAAGAACCGAATTGAAATAGAGATTCAACGGTACCACACATCAAAGAACTAAAAATCATTTCATTGTAATTGAGGATTACATAAACGGGTATACAACCAATTAATTAATTAAAAATAGTATAGCAATCCATGATGAGGCAGCACTTAATGCTAATGGTGACGGGTTGATTGATTTCTGTCCTTTTAACAAATTAAGGCAACAGGGCTTCTTTAATCACAAAAACAAACAAACAAACCGCGCTGTGATATAGGGTTATTCAACTAGTGACAGAGCGATGGAATTTTGTTAATTGAAATTTGTAAATATCGAGAGAATATCAGCAGAAAGAAATTAGATGCCTAATATTCATTTCGGTCTACCGAGTGTAATACAGAAATCGACAAAAAGAAACAAAGAACAGATGAAAGCAAGAGTCTAAAAATGAAGAAAGGAAGGGAAAAGACAACTTAAAATTTTATCTAATCTGTGACTGTGGACTATACGTGTGTAAGACGGATAAGTCAGCAAAATGTGAATGGCTTCTGAGAGACATAATATGGAATCAAGCATAAGACAGAATAGATCACTGACGTTTTACGATAAATTGAAAATTAATTGGGAAGAAAAATTATATACAGAAATATGTACCAGAATGCCAGAAAAAGGTGTAAGATGGTGGAAAATGGGAATCTCGAGGCTGAAGGATGTCTTACACAGGGAATGTGCTCAATGTGTAATGAATAAGAAGGCTGGAGCCACAAACTGAGTTGTGACGAAACCAGAAGTTGGAGAGAGAAGCTGGCAGACAAAATATTCACATGTATAACGACAAAATGCAAAAATTTGGGCTACATTTTAAAAATAAAATGAAATAGGAGAGATCTGTGATTAAATTTGAGAATTAATAAACCATAAACTGGGGGGGGCAGGAGAATTAAATATGATAGAGAAATATAGTTTAAATGCAAGTAGAGAATGTAAAATGGTACAATTAATGTAAAGATATTTAGAAGTGTAACCAGGGATTCACGTCCAACATTTTAAACTGTTAATTAACAGACTTAATAAATGTCAATGTATATTCTTATTAAAGTTTTTAGGCGTTCCTCAGTCCCTCGCTACAAGGAAATCATTTCGCTCTTGTCAATATATCTTTTTCCCGCTGCTGCGTGACGTTCTGTCAACATCTTAAAAACAGACACGACGAGGCGCTCGTGGACGTTTCTATGGCTGCAGCCAGTCATTTCAAGAAACCTCTAAGGTTTCTGTTCACCCAAACGCTTGTATCAATTTAGGTGTGCCACAGAAATCGATTAAGCGTCGGGTCGAATTTCAAGTATTGTACAAAATGAATTCAACCCTTCATCCTGCTTTTTACGTGTGTTACTTATAATGTAACTTTTAAGTCGTAACATGCCCTAATAATGAATTACACATAAGAATAAGGCGTTGTGTAGACGGAACGATAAATATGAATATGAAGTTCACATAAGCCCTCCAGTAGAACTTTGCCTGACATTCACGTCTAACTGACAAAGTGGTACAAAACCTTAAACAAATGAGAGTAATTAAATTGATCAAAAAGTGTCCTGCTTTCATGGAACGTGAAGGTTCATTAGCAAATTCGCTACAGCCTATCATTTAAGGTTTTACTGAATCATTTATATCTAATTTACATTTTCAGTATACCGTACTTATTTTTGTGAGAAATATTCTAATATTAGCCTTGCATC